AACAGCACACATAAGCTGCCTTGTTCTGAGGTGCAAGACTGCATAACCGCTGGTGAAAGTTCTTTCCAACCAGCGTGACAAGAAATCCGGTCTCTCGGATTAACGGAACTCCTTCATAGCTGAATGGAGGAGGTCATGACCTGGTTCATACAATATCGTGGGCAGGGACGAGGGTTTACAGACCCCCAAATTCAATATTATACAACGCATTTCGGACGCTTGCACAGGTAGAATTGGGAGGATAATATTAAAACGAATTAACACTTTAATATCATCCATGTAAGTAGCTACAGACTTCTGGGTTCTAAATTCTGAGTTTCATGGGGAAGTTTAATTTTACAATACAATGCAGCCAACTGTCTTCCTGAAAAAAAAACAACGCTGAGAACGGGCAATACACTTGTTCAATAGACTTTTCACACAGTGGCAGAACAATAGCAGCCGATTGAGAGTAACAAGTGAACAAAGGCGCGGAACTAAATTGGGCCAATAAACAGGTTAAATTTATATATTAATCGCATGATCTTCGATGGCTTCCGCTGATCGTGATGTTTTATAAATTCTATCCTAACAAGCGGTAGGGTTCCCTAGACGGGGGATCAGCCCATCGTAAGGCATCTTCATGGTCCCCCGGCTCAGTATAGTCGGAGTAAAAAAAAAAATGACTAACATGGCGACCATCCGAATTCTTAAAATTCCGAACACCGGGTCTGCCACGGGTTGCTTATCAAGACCATGAAGATAATAACTTCATGGTTCCTTCTTACCCGGAATAAATTTTTTAAAAAATACAAACGTAATAAATACGACGTGGCTTGTTATCGTCGGTTTATGCATATTTGTTGTTGCGTTATTCCATTGTTATTTGCGTAAGAGCACGGATCTACAGCGTCTGACGTCATTGTATGTTGTTCTGTATATGCCTGCTGTCGACTTTATCGCCTTGGTAATCGAAATCTAATGAACGCATACCACTGCCAGATCTACAGTCACACGTCAAAAATGAACATCGTAATAGCTAACAAACATATCCAATCGTACCTCTGTAGATTTATCTGTTATACTCCTTACGAAGGTTATATCTTGGTTTTACTCCATCTCCTCAGACGAATATGTGAACAGCGCCTTCCGAAAGGTCAGACTACCTAAAACTTGCTTTTTCGTCACTCAATAAAAAATGCTTCGTGCGAAGGAATAAATCTTACATAAAAACTCCATACTTTTATGCAACGTAACCGTCCAACACCAAATTTAATAAAAAGAATTTATCAAACAGCTTGTGATATGATACATGCATACGGAGAGACCCTGACCTCCAACAGTACATCACCCCCACTACCTTGGACGATAACCTTTGCTGTCGACATTAACAACTGTGGCAGAGAATTCTAATTGTTTTCACATCGAGCGTATCTGTTTTCCATTGTCAACAGTCAACTTCCGGCATGTGTACGAGAATAACATAACATGGCGTCTTTTAACGTTAAACACGAGAAACCTAGTTAGCGGGTATTTCTTACTACACAGTGTTTAAGAATTTAAACTCATCCCTGCTACTTTTCAACAATGGAAATCATGAGTTACCACGGCAACAATAAAAATTAAGCTCGGCGCCAAACAGATTATGGACACGTTCTCTTTTGTCGTTCTTCGAAAAAGAAAAATCACTGATCGAGTAGACAACATTGCCTCATAACCTAACCTAACCACAAACGGTAATTTCAGTGTAAATCATGCTTCGGGTCCAGAACACGGGCACTTCACGTCCGGTATCTAAACCATTTGCTCAAGTTGCGAAAACCAAATGTAAGTTCGTGTAATTAGGACGATTATGAGTGACTATTAGACGCGATCAATGTTGTTTTGACGTCGAGTGTACTTCTTACGAATTCTCAATGTCAGCACGTAATAAACATCCTCCTACAAATTGTTCCATTTTAAGAGCCACTGCGACGTTCAAGGCAGCATTTATACAGCACTTCAGCCGGGGGGGGGGGAACTTCCCCAGCACCTTGGATCAGTCCTGAGTCAAGAAATTCCCTGCCTTTACGAACCCCCTATGTTCATTACAACATTCATGTGAGCCCTCCACTGTTGTCTATCTTGAGTCAGATGAACCCAGTCAACACCTTCCCATCCACATTAATATCATCACCCCATCTATGATGACTTTGTCATCCAAGTGGGGTCCTCTGCCCCACAGGAACTTTCCACAACGTTAGCCTCGTTTTAGCCCTAGTGATAACACAGCATCTAAGGTGATGAGTTTCACAAATTGTACTCTGTACCTGTTATTGCTACGAAGGTCGAATGAAGAATAAACAGATGTGAATGACATGTAAAATGTGCAGGAGGAAATGACAAATACACACAAAATTTTTATTAGAAAACATCTGAGAGAGTATCAGAGAAAAATGCTGTCAAGTTGTTGACTGATATGAATTGGCTAGAATAGAACAGAGTCCAATATCACAAATGAACTAACTTCTTCACCAGCAGCGATGCCACCAAGAAAGACCCTGTACCACCGAGTCATTTACAGTATCCCCATCGTCAATGCGCGGAAGTGCACTCAGGTAAAACTATTTGCATTCCAAGGCCACAGAATCATATGGAAATTAACTTCATGCTTTGACCCCATTACCCTTTAATAAAGCATCCCCACATCTGAAAATAAGCTGGTTTTACGAGTCACCATGTGTATGACGGAAAAAAACAGACATTCACACCCTCCGCAGAAAGGCACCGAGTAAATTCCTACAGCTTCAGCGAGTTTAAAATCAACAACAACTTGGGATCAAGGACTTAACGCTAATACAAAATTAAAATAATCTTCAAAGGGATTTCGCTGATAAGCACAAAACGCAGTCGCCTTGACCAGTTACGCATAAGAAAGTACATGCCATAACCACTCTATTATAAAACAGTTGCCTTGACCAGTTACGCATAAGAATGTACATGCCATAACCACTCTATTATAAATATCATATTTATTTTGACTTTAATTAACATCAGAATTCCATATCTGGGCAAGTAAACTGAACTTTGCGACCACTAATTGATCAACAGTTGAAGGCTATACATGCAGCCCATTAAGAAACTCTGTATTTACGGGACCTTTAGGTTCATCCCTTCATTCACAGAAGCCGACCACTGGATTCTGTCCTAAGCCAATTTGTTCTACTTCACGTCTTCACAACTTATTTCTTCAAGGCCCTCTTTAACGTTACTCACCCCACCTACACCTCGCACCCATGTGTGTTTATATCCTGACTATTTAAGCCCTCAAAAACAAAATTTCTTGTGCCCCTTTTCTGTATGGAAATATTCTTTCAAGAGGACCACCGAGTCACACGCAAAAGATAATGACATAAGAAGCAAAATGAATCTGGAAATCAATTTTCCTTCCCATGGAATAAAGAATTAGACATATCTGAGTCAATATAATGTGCATTAATCCTTAAAATATTAATGAGATTTCAGGTTCTCATGGTAACAAGTATGAAGATGACCCGTCTTCTGGGATGCTGTGTTGTGTAGTCCTGTAGAAACTGACCAAAGTTTCTGAGGAGCTTATTGCTGGTGATGAGTAACACCCTGATAATGGAGGCAATAAGTGCATCTGAAACATCAGTAAATTTCTGAGACTACACGGTGCAATATCCCAGAAAATAGTTACTTTCTTAAAAGGTTCATTTAATCTCCCAAGTAGCTAACGAACAGAAAAAAATGTTGAAGGTCTTAATTAAGTAATCTTTACTATCATGTCACAGCCTCCTACTTAATGTCCATGTATTTCTCACAGCCCTGTGTTCTCTTACAAAACAGTACTGACAACTGAACAGGATTTCTTTAGCTGATGAATGAAAGTCTAAGCGCTTCTCTGTGATTGATTAGTAGTAACACAAATGGAAATAAGTTACATAACTCGGTGCAGCGAATGTGAGTGAAGTTAATGGACTGGATGAGAACAGGAGACTTGTGAATGTGAAAATAAGAAATGTTGGTAAGCGGACTAGCTTTTTTGTTTGTGGTCACCCACATGGTTACCGATTGTGATGGCCGAAACCGAGGGAAATCAGAACCTGGACTGTCCATTGTGGACGAGCTACGACTGGAATTATTAGACTTAGTTCACGACTTGTGGAAAGACGTGGCAGACCCTCGATGGGTAGCGCTAGCAAACGACACTCTTGGAGGAGCGGACGTCGAGTTGCTCCGCGCTTTCCAGACACTAGGAGACACTCTGGAAGGCAGACAACCACCAGGCCTGGCCACGGCAGGGGCTGAACTGGCTTCACTGTGGCAATGGGCTAGGGCAGAGGCTGAACTCAAGGGAATTGATGCATTGCATGGCTCATTCAGGAGATTTCAGCAGCAACAGACCCGTGGGGGAAAACTTCCGGCTCCCCAGAGAGCGTGGACTGATCTCGCAGAGACCATACTGCAGGACCCAACGTCGTCTGTACCACAAGCTTTATCGAGACTGAATGAGATCATTGAAAACAAGAAAGGGGGGGACGGAAATCTGTTCCAGCAGGCTTTGAAGGTAAAATAATTAAATACAACTCGCTGATAAAAGTTGTTTGAAGCACGAACGAAGCAGAGATCATCAGAGCAGTCACATGAGGAAATTGACTAGACATGTTGCTTTGACGGCAGAGACGAGAAGGGTACTCACAATTTTGGCGGGGAAATCTTTAGAAAAGTAGCCACTTGGCACACTGGAAAGAGAGAGTGAGGATGATTTTAAAATGAATCTTGTGAATAATGTGAGGTTGTAAATTAGGTTGCACTGGTTTAGAATATGAGCAGTGCTGAGAAATAAGTATTAATGCTGTCTAACCTTTGGGTTCTGTTAGAACAGAGAGAGCTAGTTGTAAAGTCATAAGAGAAACAAAATGCGTGCTTCAACAAGAGCAAAACAAATCTTCTGATACTGCCAAAATGTTATGTATGAAATGATATACCTCACATACTTTAATGTTTGAAATATTGTGAATTTGGAGACTCAAGAGTAGTGAACATGTCTGTAAATTTAGATGAATATGAAACTGTTTCATGAGTACCAAAAAAGCCTGGTATGATGCATTATATGAATTTGTAAACAGAAGTATGAAGTACTAAAATACCTTGCTTTTCATTTTAAGGTACTTTGCCAAATATAATGTGCACTTCTTTGCTCCAAATATTTACAGGAAAAAACTGTATTACATTTCAGTAAATACAGTATAAAGCATTTGGTGAATGGCTGTCATATCCACACGGCCAATCAAACCCACATTCTTAATGAAACATGTCAGAGTTATGAAATCCACTTAAAAACAAAAGCATGGCATTACTATTTCAGGAATCAAGGTCAAACATGTGCAATCTACAACAGTCTCCACAACAACTTCTGTACAATCTGTATAACTCGGTGGCCATCACAGAACTGAAAGGTTACGCCATGATGCAGTTCTCATGGATGCTGCTACGACTCTATAATAAAGGTACGTTTGTTTCAGAAAACCTCAACGGAATTGTCAGGCACAAATGTGAAACATAATCTGAAATGAATGTGTAATCTTAAACATTTAATTGGGAAGGATGGGGGGGGGGCAAAGTTGATACAATCATCAGTTTTTACCATAAAAATATACTAAGTCACAGAGGAATAACAAGTGCCAATAAGATTTCAGACATGCAGAACATCATTAAGATGCCAATCACTTACAGAGTCAAAGGCCTCTGACTTGAAATGTCAGTCAAAGAGAGAGGAAAACAAATTATTTATAATTAATGTTGTTTATGCATAATAAGCGAGAAAAGAAAACGACACACTCGTGAAAATTACGCAAAGACTGACCTGAAGGCAGTGTATGCAAAAAAAACTGCTCTGTAATTGTCGCGTATTAGATTTACAGCTAATAACGCAAGTTAATTGATATTTACACTGTCACATGAAAGGGGAAGATGATCGTAAGTGGTGAGCAGGTAACAATTTGGAAGTCGCAGTCACAGCCTATTTCATGGTACTAAAAAAAAACTAAAACTTCCTTACTCTGAGACCAGGCAATTTTAACATCAGAGATGAAACCCCTAACTTAAGGCCTAGGGTATAATAACCTTGTTATTTGTTGTCACGATTTGAACCACCTACGTACTGGAAATAACCTTGTTGGTTGTGGTCACGATTTGAACCACCTACGTACTGGATACAAGGATAGAATGTTACTGATACATAATCAACAACCCTTGTCTCTACATCTAATTAATTTATGCATTAGACTAGGTGTGACACAAAAACCAACACGATAATTTGTATGCTCTGACAGGGAACTTCACGACTGAGGCTGAGTTGATGCGGGAACGCTACCAAGAGACGACAGTGCAAAAAGCTGCTGCCGTGAAGGAGGCGATGCAAAGTGCAGAACGAGACATGTGGAGGTGCGATCCAAGAGAACACAAGGAAGGTGAAACGTATGTTGAGCTGACACAGCTTCTACAGGGACACATTCAGAATGAAGTTGATATGAACGGTGACTCCACCTGCAGGGAGAACTGTGCATACTACTCATATGCCAAGAGTCATGGTTGCTATCACAGTCAGGTCTGTGCCAGACAACCACGCTGCAATGGAAAGCTTGTCGACTGCCAGTATATTGACTCTGATATGTGGGTGTGCCAGGCGGTGAGTTAAACATGTTACATTACCCGTGTTAGTCATCTTGCAGAAAGGAATTTTAGCGAGTTATTGTAAAACTTTAACTGCCAATCACAATGCAGGATGTGTACTGTCATGGAAATCACTTCTGCCAACTACATTAGCCTATATTTCTATAAATTTACAGACTATTTTTGTCCGACATATGTAGGATGGCTCTGGGGTTCACTCTCTACCTTCTTATCCAATGTGTATATAATGTGTAGAGATCGTGCATGCCACAAATCTATCATTCTGTGTGCAGGACAGCATAAGCGATCGGCGTTACAGCTGGATTGAATATAAGAATGGTCGCATCCTTGGGAAGAAAGATTCATGTGAGAGAGGAAAAACAAAGGTGGACAGCTGGTGGCGCTGGCTGTTTTGGCACTGCTCATACTGCTTCTGTCTATGCGATGAACAGGGACCCAAGTCTGATAGATACTTCAATTTAAGAGAGGTCAAGGCAGATATTGCTAACAACAAGTAAGTAACTTCATAAACAAATTCATATGTATATCTTATATCCTTAACCCTTTGAAGCTGAAGCTTGTGGAAATAATTTTTAAGAACTCGGTCCATATACCTCATAGAAAATACAACACTTCACCATTACAAGGATCAACTAGTTAATGAAACCCATACTTACAAAACGAAGAGTTACTGACTGTTGAAGGAGGCGGGACATATAGTTACTATCGGGATGTAAAGGGCAATCTTCAGAAATTTTGATAATTTCAAGAACACAGCTTCTGGCAAAACATACAGCTCTATGCCAGAAACATTTATTTTTTTGTGGTATTCCTCAGTACTGCAGGTAATGAATTAAAACAGGCTATGACCACTTACTTCCACATCTGTAATGATTTGTTATTTACTATGATGCTACATAACCTTAGCAGTTGATATAGTGTCATAAAATAAATTAATAACATAACTAGAAATTTAACTGGACAATTCAACACCACACATTGGTTCTTCAGACACACGTTTTTAAAAACAATGTCGATTATAACTCTAATACTGGAAGTTTTCTGGACTAATAGATACTCGATCTAATTAAATGAGATTCTGTATGTGTGACATATATGATTGTGCTACAGCAGTACAGCGACGCATGGTTGGTACTTCAGTGCTATTAAGTGGAAAATCATCTTCAATTTCCTCGTTAGACCTCAAGTACAGGCTATCATTATTGCATCTCTTGTATAAAGGAAGTATGCGATGCACTAAATTGACAGTATGTTATGCATCTGATTTCCTGTTCAGTAGTCTTTTTGAAACATTACGGTATAGTGGAATGTCAAACCAGTTACGTTACATTCATTATGACATATCACGACACTCCAAAGTTTTGAACAGGTGTGTAGATTTGTTATTCATAACCACACAACACACAGAACCGAGTGAAACTACACGCAGTTGGAAATGGATAAAATTGTGCAGACACAGTTGATAGACTTAAATATTTCATAAATAATAGTTTTTAACAGTACTGTGCAAGAAACCAGAAACATTACAAAATAAACTAACATACTCAAAAAAAAAACCCTCCAATAGACTCTCGCGTCTTTTTTTTTTAAACCTAAGTCCAACACCTACAAGGTCTGTCAGTATCTCTTCTTTCTCACTAATGAAATTCAAAATGGCTTTTAATATTACATTTTTCTTGCGCACACTGTTCATTCCCCATTTCAGTTTGTGTGTCTTAATTAAGTTTGTCTATTACGGCAAATAAATGTGTATAACCTCTATCATCATTCTTCATCCCATCATAATAGGCACAACCTTTGAGATTTACCAAAGAATTTCATCAAACAGTATCCTGCTTTCCCAATGCATAGATGCGCTTTCTAGATGGAGAGACTTATATCTCTTTGTAACCGCAATACTTTCTGAACTATGTACGTCAGAAATATTAAACTGGCGAGATTTCAGGTCTCATGGCAGTGAGCATACAGCAATTTAAATTGGTAAGAGAGGTCCTGACCGATATCCATGTACATTGCACAGGCGTATGACATTACTAACTGCAGAGTCTCGCAGCCTACCTCTAGCAGTTCATAGTTATTCAACTGTTAAAGATGTTGATAGAATCTCAAGTTTCACCACCTCTTTCCTTACAAACACTATCACGTGATCAATGTGGTTATCAGACATGTCTCAACTGTGAAGATCAATTGCAAACCAGAGTTGTGCTTACAGATTACTGTAATTTTGGGTTACAATGCTGTGTAGTCTAGTAAGTTGTTACCAACATTTCAGAGGAACATATAAACCTGGTTTTCAGAAGATGAAGGAAATACATTAATCAAAAATGTTGATAACCACCTACAAGACTTATTGCATCTTAATCCAGATCCTTGCAATCAAAATTTTCATTTCCATGAATAAATCTTACACAGTTGTACAGATCCTCACGATTTTTTAAATCCAACACAGGGTAGTGACGGGACTGCGGTTTGTGAAGGTGAATCGAGTGATCCACCTTCAGATCCAAGAAGCAGGGCTTCTGCCGCGTGGAGAAATAAACATGACATCACTTCAATGGCGTCCTGTTGATGACTACAGAATATCTGATTCTGATGTGTACAATGGGAAAGACTACCATACTCTGAGTTGGGAACAGAGAGCAATCGATCTGGATGATCTTACAGCCCCTAACGGTTTTATACTGACAGGTAAGCAATAAACTGAAGGCTGAGAAAGGCAATAACTAAGCAAGGAAATTTATCAACGTTTAAATTATCAACCCGATGTTCAAACTGACACATCTTTAACTTAATTCTATAATGTTTTAATGCATCAGGCACCAGAAAATTGGGAGAAACATAAATGAAACAACACGATTCTAACAAACGCTAGACATCTTTGTTGCAGTAACAGACATGCCTGTTTTCAGGAGTTCGATTCCGTCGAGTCGGAACACATCTGAACTTGGAAATTATGGTGACCCCACTTAATTTCACAGTTGGTACATTGGATAAGCCCCACCAGAAGAGTGTGTGGCATGGTAATGACAACACAGACGCCTCCCTTGAAGCTCCCAGGTAAGCAGTACCTCTCAACCATTTCTCTCTTATCGTGAAATTTTTTTTCGGTCTCCTATGTTATTATTGCCTCCAAGGTAAAGACTACACTTATGTTACCATTAATCGGCAAAAGGATTCACTTATGTTATTCAAAGTTACGAAACAGCATCATACATCTCTCGACAGCACGATTACTACAAATAACATTTTGCGTTTGCGTGTCTTTCACAGGCAGAGACTACGCATCTCAAATCCCGATGTACCAATATCTACAAATGATGGATCCGTCATTGATTCACGATCTGACCAATTCCTGCTCTTCACACATTCAGACATTAACACAGATGCAGCACAGACTACAGTACCATTTCTGGATGCTCAACCTGTGGCACCTGATCCACCTACTCTACTTGCCGGAGCTGGAATTTACCACAAGGGACGTTTTGGCTATGGAGGTTTCATAGGACTGAAAGTTGTGACATACGACTTTAGTAATCATGTACAAGCTAGATTTCCAATCACTGAAGATGAAGTTAATTGACTAACGTACGCGAAGGATTCCTTCTTCAGTCAGTAGGATACATGTTCTGCATCTGTGTCAGTATTTGTAACCTTTATACACAAAACTACTAATGTTGATCAATACTAAAGCTACAAATTCAAACACTGTATACTGTTCTTTGAAATCAAAAGTCTACAGGTTTAACATACATGGAAATCAACTTGTTAGTTCAATAAAATGCTTGATGTATTAAAATCTGTGGTATTAGTAATAAAACAGTACTGATTAGGAAATTGGTACTACTGTTCCCTTGTATCTTTGTATAATCAATAAAGAAGTTAGTAAGTACAAACTTACTCTAAAAGAAACTTACGTTAATTTACCACGCACACTTTAACAAAAATTTGCGGAACTATGAACCTAGCTCAGGCAAAGTTCCAGTTCTAAAGGCTTCTTAAAATTTTAAAGACATTCCAAATAACTCCTACACCTTTTCCCAATCTGCACCAATATAAAACATTTTGAAATGCACATTGTATCCAGAACTTGTCCGTCTTCCGACTCATTTTCTTTGTTAAAATTAGATATATTCAAGATTCTATAAAGATTATTAAAATTTTTAGCAAACCATGTAGACATGTGTCCTACTTATTAACCGATGTTTTTCTCCTCAAAAGGTGAGGAGCGTGTTCATAAACTTCATGGTCTAATGGTCTTTTACCTAGCCGAGACATGGACACCTGGAATACGTCAGCTCACCACCGAATTTGCCACACACAGAATTAGTCAGGAAGGTCAGAAGGCTTAAGGGTTGACAAAGATACAAAGGGCTCATGAATCCTACTTCATCAGCAATGACGCTACAGTATAATTCTAGACAGGCATATAGGACAAACATGCCGTTGGTCCTACCTGAACACGAAGGGGGTGCATCATGATGAGCATTAACACGTCCCTTGGTGGCAGCACATCCTTCAGAGACAGACCCTGGTGTTTGATGGCCTGACACATGAATACTGACAAATATCGATGCAACGGTAGATGAAAGGACACTTGATTGCTATCATTCTGTGGACAAGAAACAAATGCATTCATCAGACTGAATATTCAATGACACAGCCTACTTGCTCTAGTATTCAAATCCATATTAAATAATGGTCCTATTGCATTCATATTATCTTTTCTATCATGAAACATCCACAACCTTATTTTGAGTAAATTGGTCACTACATTATTTATTTTTGTCTATTTCAAGAACTGCATATTAATAGGTTAATTTTTGCAAATGTGCCAGCAACTGAGAAGGTGAATGAGTTTGCCAACATACTAGATACTATAAACAATATACAAAATGTTAAAATTTATTCCGACAGCTGCATATTTTTTAAAGTAATTCTTTTGTAAAACAAGTTAATCAAATGAGAATGAGAATGGTCATTAGTGTTAGCAAGAAACAACTAATCACTGCTTCGATCAGATTCCTCTTTTGCGCATTGCCGATACTGTTCTTTGTTGATATCGCACTGACAGCAATTGATCGTGGCAAAAAGGATGAATAGCCCACTGTCACACAAAACAGAGTATGAATATTTAGAACAGGAAGTCACAGAAGACCCCACTTAATGGTGTCGTGGTGGTAGGGCTTGAGTACCTCAGTGACCCCAAGAGCTATGCTGGCGGTAGCATAGCTACTGGTAGGGCCTCCCTAGCCAGATTGATCGAGGGGGAGAGGTCAGACTAAGACAGGTACCCTGGTCCTCTAGGTTGGGGGTTGGTCGCAAGGCTAACAACCTTGCACCGTAAAAAGGAAGACGTTTCGAAACCTCGATCAAAGCCTTGGACAGACGGACGTAACAGAGGACCGAATAGAAGAGGAGAATTGAGGAGGCCATGGAC